AAACTTCCCATTAATATTACGTTTAGCTACCATTATTGCTTTCACTACTACTACTACTACTACTACTACGGCGACTACAACTACTTCTACTACTACTACTACTACTACTACTACTACTATTACTACTACTACTACTACTACTACTACTACTACTACTACTACTTCTACGACTACTACTACTACTACTACTACGACTACTACTACTACTACACTACTACTACTACTACTACTACTATACTACTACTACTACTCCTACTACTACTACTACTGCTACTGCTACTACTACTACTACTACTACTACTACGACTACTACTACTACTACTACTGCTACTACTACTACTACTGCGCTACTACTACTACTACTACTACTACTACTACTACTACTACTACTACTACTACTACTACTACTACTACTACTACTACTACTACTACTACTACTACTACTACTACTACTACTACTACTACTACTACTACTACTACTACTACTACTACTACTACTACTACTACTACTACTACTACTACTACTACTACTACTACTACTACTACTACTACTACTACTACTACTACTAGTACTACTACCACTTCATTTACCACGCATGCCACGGCTATACCATTCCACCATCACCAATACCACTACTACTACCACGCATGCTTCTGGTATTAGTGTAGTTACATCACATCTTACGCAGCTCGGGCGTCAGCAACAGAACTAGAATTTCAATGCGGCAAGAACGCGAGGATTGTCACAGGTGTTGTGCAGTTGCACCACTCCTCATCACAATTGCTACACTAATTTTGATTATCCCCATCGCCCCCCCCCACCTTCTGGACGTGCGAGGCTGGAGCACGAAGCGCGGGGAGGACGCCGCGGAGCCGGGGCCTCGGCAGATCCCTCCACGACCCACCCCCGGCCAGGGCGCAGGGCGGACGTACAAAGAGGGGGAAAAGGTAGAGGAAGAGGAGGGAGAGGGGAGGGAGAGAGTCTCCATTCTCCGCCTCCTCCCTCCATCCCCTTCCCTCCTCAATCCGCCTCCTCCTCCTTCTCCTCCTCCTCCTTTTCCTGCTCCTCCTTCTCCTCCTTCTCCTCCCTCTCCCGACGCTGACGCTGACGCTCACGGCTTCGGAGTTCGTCGGCCAAACATAGCAGCATTATTTTTATTATTAGTTTGTTGTTATTATTATTCTTATTCTTTTTCTTATTATTATTATTATTAGTATTCTTCTTCCTGCTCCTCCTCCTCCTCCTCCTCCTCCTCCCTCTCCTCCTCCTCCTCCTTCTCTGCACCTGGTCCACAGGGACCCACCAGGGATCCACGACTAAGACCCCCAAGACGGCTCCCAAAGGATGATGGGGCCCCGTGGAGGCCCTGAAGAGGCACCCAAGAGGCAGGGAGGTCCCCAAGGAACCCTTCAGAAGGCCCCAAGAGCCTAGTCAGAGGCCCCCAAGAGACTCCCAGGAAGCCCCAAGGAGCCACAAGACGGCCTCATCCTCCTCCTCCTCCTCCCTCCTCCTCCTCCTCCTCCTCCTCCTCCTCCTCCTCCTACCACTCCTCCTCCTCCTCCTCCTCCTCCTCCTCCTCCTCCTCCTCCTCTTCCTCCTCCTCCTCTTTCTCCTCCTCCTCCTCCTCCTTCCCATCACCCTCCACTCTTTTTCCTTAAAGGTAGCTCCTCCTTGTCGCACCCCGGGCTGGGCGTTTCGCTTTAGATTGATTCACGATGTATGACTTTGATGTTAAACATTGGAAACGGCTTCTCAGATGGAGGGCGGGTCGTTTTCAAAATGTGGTTCTCGCTTTCGCGCCGTGCATATTCGCATTCCAAACTTACATACGTTTCACGCCTTGAGGGGGGGTCGGTTTCAACATGTGGTTCTCGCCTCAGCGTCCCGCACACTCGGTATAAAGGTTGCAAGGGCTTCGCAGATAGGGAGCGGGTAGTTTTCAAACTGTGGCTCTCGCCTTATCGCCGCTCACACTCGTTCGAAACATGCGCAAGAATTGCACGGATGGTCGTCGGGTAGTTTTCAATCGGTGGTTCTCTCTTTAGCGCTTGCAGATTCGTCTGACACATGTGCCAGAGTTGCACGGATTGCGGGCGGGTTGTTTTCAAATTGCGATTATGCATTTAGCATTGCGCGCGTCCGTTTGAATTGTTTGCAAGAGTTTCACGGCTTGACGGCGGGTGGTTTTCGATATGTGGTTCTCGTTTGACGCATGCGCAAGAGTTTCACGGATTGCGGGCGGGTGGTTTTCCATATGCGGTTTTCGCTTCACCGCCGCGCACATTCGTCATAACACATTGCAAGTGTTTTGCGGATTGAGGGTGGGTCAAGTTCAATATGTGGTTCTTTTTTCCCGGAAAGGGCGTCGGCCCAGGGTTCTCTTTTAGTATGTAAACATGTCCCCGGTGCCCAACTTGAAGGAGGCCGGCGGATTCTTTCCCTGATAAATATCGAGGTCGAAGGAGGCCGGCGGATTAAAATTTGAGGATGTCTCAGGCG